CCACTGAAATAAAGGTAGCTGATTACGAGAAAGATCTCGGTATGTATGTTGATGCTTCCATGTCCCACTCTCGCCAATGTGGGGAAGCAATAAAAAAGGCGAACAGAATGTTGGGTTATATCTCTAGGTGTGTGGAGTTTAAGTCAAGGGAGGTGATGTTGCACTTATATAATTCCTTGGTAAGACCCCACCTAGAATACTGTGTGCAGGTTTGGTCACCATACCTCAAGAAGGACATTGCTGCCTTAGAAAAGGTGCAACGAAGAGCTACGAGAATGATTCCTGGTCTTAGAGGAATGTCTTATGAGGAGAGGTTAGCGGAACTGAATCTGTTCAGCCTTGAGCAAAGGAGACTAAGGGGGGATATGATTCAGGTCTATAAGATTCTAACGGGTCTGGATGCAGTTCAGCCAAATGACTATTTCAATATTAGTCTAAATACTAGAACTCGTGGCCATAAGTGGAAATTAGCGGGAGAACATTTTAAAACAAATTTGAGGAAGCACTTCTTTACACAGCGTGTAGTCAGAGTATGGAATAGTCTTCCTGCTAGTGTAGTGGAAGCTAAAACCATGGGTTCCTTTAAATCAGAGCTAGATAAGATTTTAACAACTCTGAGCTATTAGCTAAGTTCTCCCCAGACGAGCTTGATGGGCCGAATGGCCTCCTCTCGTTTGTAAATTTCTTATGTTCTTAACAGCACCAGCAGCCATAGTTACGGTGTGTCATGTGTTTAGCGTGTAAGCTAAACTGAAATAATAGGACTTCAGTCGAGATTTAAAGACTGAGTTTTCTTAAATGTGTTGTATTCTATTAATGTGCCGTGTCCAATTAATGTGTTGCGGAAAATGTTCTGAAATGTGTTGTTCTCAATGCATTGTGTTTCCTTAAATAGGCTACCTTAAATTTTAACGCAGGGTACAATTTGTACAATAGGCCACTATAGGAGTGTTGCAATTCTGTTTTTTCTACCACTTCGGTGCCGACGGGCTATAAATTAAAGAAACACTTACCCACGTGTTAAATAGGTTTTAGATTTTAATTATGAACAGAAAAACCTTCACCTTATGCTTGGAAAGCAGTCATGAATGACCAAAAAAATGAGTCTGTTAGTGGACATAGTTGAGTGAATCACTTTTATGTCAATACTGCTTTATTTATTTATTTTGAGACCTGTGTTCAGAATAAAGAAAATGTCTATAGTGAAAAGATATTTGCAAAGAAAGAAAGAAGCCCACACATTGTTGTAATAAAATCGTTACACCTCCCGTGTGGTTTTTATTTTTGTCAAGTCACTAAGCACTTTTTGATTTGCCACTTTTTCAACATTTAGTGCACTTTTATTACATTTAGCTAGAAATAAACATTGTTAAAAATCATCACAACTTGTTGCTATGTATATTATTTGAAAAATTACTTAGTATTTGTAAACATAAATAATATGTTTATTTGTAAGTATTAAATGGAAATATAAATGTAAATGTTAAATGTAGACTCTAAATGTCGAGAACATACGTAGATTCCCCAAGCCCATCTGGCTTGTTTGAAGGGAAACTGGCGGTAACCATGGAAGTACGCTAAGTGGCTGCGGAGATGCCGAACAAACGGGCGAATTGCGATCCATTAGAGGTGGTAGGACGTGCGGGTTTGGCTGGTGTTCGCGCTGCAATACAGAGCGAATATCGTGCCACCTGGAAATGCAAACACGGCATTGGCATGCGGGGGAAAACAATCAACGCGACGCGGCATTGCTTTTCAGTGGGAGTCGCTAGGAGAACGTGGCACAATGAAAAGTAAAACCATTATTTCATTGCTTTGCATTTTGTTCAACTACCATCTAGAAAAATATTGATAAGTATTTACATTACACACAATTTAACAATGAAACTGTGCCACATCACAACGGTATCTCGCTCTGCTGTATCGGCTTATTTACATTTTCGAAAAGTGCTATCCAATCACAGCTCTCTAGCGAGCGGGGGGCGTGGTCGTGGAAAACTGCCCGGGACAAACGCGTAAGATCTAATCAATGAGGCGACAGCAGTCTCAGGTATTTTATGTGCATTTGCGCTGATATGAGAAGTAACCTTTATATCGCAAGTGAAGCACGAGTTAGTATATAATGGTTAAAATACCCGACAATTTTTTGTCATATCAGCGCAAATGCACATAAAATACGTACATAGATCTCACTACGTGAGATATAACAATATTCTCACCTTCCCCCTCTATCAAATTCCCTGTGAATCGCTAACTGAATGGGGGTATGTTTCCCAAAAGCATAGATACTAACTACGTTAGCAAAGTAAATAGTTGGAACCATGCAATTGAAAGAGTTCAACTACGTAAGTTGCTAACAGGAGCTTTTCTGAAACACACCCTGATTTGATCATAGTTGTGATTCTGGGATTTTGTGCAACATCTCGACCAAACCTTTTTGATTATGGTTTCATTGTTAAATTGTGTGTCATCTGTATCTCCTGCCCGAGTTTCACATTGTCTGTGTCACACACAACACTATGTCTCCCCACGCCAGCCCACTCTAACCACCTGTTCTGACCATTTTGCTACTCTAATGGATTATATATTTTCTCACTTTATTACCAGGACCCAGCGATTGCGATAGACGGTAATATGAGTACCACTGTATTTTAAGTTTTATTGGGTTTCAGGTCTTGGCTGGTCTTTTCAGGAAATAGTTCATGTCGGTTAGACGTTTCAGAAGTGCAGCTGCCGAGAAGGGATGTGAAAGTGTATGGGTTTTTATTTACGTATTTCAGAAAGGATACAACATCCACATGTAGTGCTCCTGTGATTTACGAGAAACAGTTGGAGCGGCAGCCCCACTCTTCAAGTGCTGACCGCACAAAATGTGAGGATAAATGATTACTGAATGATGCAGCTAATGTCATTGTTTAATTTCGAAGGACAGTTATAAAGTCTATGGTTTTATTGTTGGAGTAAGCCAATATTCAACACTTCACATGTGAGAATAATGGCAAAGTAATGCAACACTTAGTATTAAAGGTGGTTATCCCATGTGAGAGTAATGGCAAAGTAATGCAACACTTAGTATTAAAGGTAATTATCCCATGTGAGAGTACTGGCAAAGTAATACAACACTTAGTATTAAAGGTGGTTATCCCATGTGAGAGTAATGGCAAAGTAATACAACACTTAGTATTAAAGCTGGTTATCATATGCGAGAGTAATGGCAAAGTAATACAACACTTAGTATTAAAGGTGGTTATCCCATGTGAGAGTAACGTCAAAGTAATACAACACTTAGTATTAAAGCTGGTTATCATATGCCAGAGTAATGGCAAAGTAATACAAGACTTAGTATTAAAGTTGGTTATCCCATGTGAGAGCAATAGCAAGGTAATACAAGACTTAGTATTAAAGGTGGTTATCCCATGTGAGAGTAATGGCAAAGTAATACAACACTTAGTAATAAAGAGGAAATCCGTCAGCATATGTAAGGATCCTACACACACTTACCATTATCTGCTTTCTATTCCCGCACCTCCAGACTGAGGAATAGCTTTTCCTTCCAGAGCCGTAGCTGCTCTAAATCACCTGACAAGCCCCCCATAACCTGCCTGAAAACTGCACTACCAGTAGCCCCAGTGCACTAGCACTAATTCATTAGCATAAGACAAGCTGCGCTACAGTATATCAGAAAATGTGTTTTTCTTTGTTTAATATTTTAAGTAATGATTTATCGTTTCATTAATGACTGGGTGGTTATTAGTAGCTGTAATCTAAAGTCATTGCTTGGTTGCACAGTTTAAAAAGTGATATTTGTGTGTGTGTGTGTGCGTGTGTCTGTCTGTTTTTATACTTGTAAATGAATAATGAGAACTAATGTCATCCATCAAAAGATGAGAAACTCACACAGCCAAGCTGTGCTGGTTCTTCGCAGAGCCTGCAATTCCCCATGGTCACTGCATATAAACAGTTTGGCTAATTTCAGCCGCTGCTCCCCTCAAGGGCAAAGCACACCTGCCTGTTACACCCGCAGAGGGAGATAGGACAGAAACCGCAGAGAAACATGCAAATATACAGGAAATATACAGCCCTCCTCAGCTGGCCAGGCAGGAGTTAAACTTCCGGCCAACCAAGAGCTTTCTAGATTTTTTTTATTCAAATTCAAATTTTATTTGTCAGCCACCAATCATACACAGTATGACCTGCAAGGAAATGCTATTTTTTGACACACCGTAACATAAAACACAACAGTGGTATACAAATGTAGTGCAGAGGAGTAAGGTAGACACATGAGGTCAGGATACCGGACAGGACAGGGGGGCACGATAGGAGATAAAGGACTAGGATAAGGGACATAAGGGACTCACCCCACTGAGCTATGCAGTGCTCCTGGAAACAGGGAAAGCACACTATGGACAGAGGAGAGAACAGAATGGCCAGAGACACCTGCTGGCCAAACGGGGGAGAGACATGAAGGGCAGGGATAGATGGGCACGGACCCTGAAAATGTCGTGTGTTGTACAGCGATCTGATGACTTTAAAAGTCCTGTAGTGTGGAGGCACCATTAGGAATCTGAGAGCCCATCAAGCCCCCCCCCCCCCCAGAAGCAGCACTATGACAGATGCAGTGGCAGCTGTTTTGAACAGTATATGTCAGTACATGTCCTGGTAGTTCTCCTGTCAGTTAGACGTTTCAGGTGTGCAGCTGCTGAGAAGGGATGTGAAACTATACATGTACCATTTTAGAAATGACAGGAGCCCGCAGTGCTCCAGTGATTTACTAGAGAGCTGAAGCGACAGCCCCACTCATCAAGTGCTGACCCGCACAAAACATGAGGATAAATGATTACTGAATGATGCAGCTAATGTCATTGTTTAATTTTGAAGTACAGTTATAAAGTCTGTGGTTTCATTATTGGATTAAGCCAACATTCAGCCAAATCACAAAATAGAAAAATGGACAACAATGACTCTTAACAACCAAAATTTTATTTGTAGATATGCAGAAGGAAAATATTGTACAGTGATTATTAATGAGAGAGGATTTTAAACATAAATTTATGTAGATTGATTTCATGATCTGAATACATAAAATCAGGGTATGTAAAAATACGAATCAAGATTAAATGAAAATGAGTAAATATTAAAAGAAAATTTAATATAAAAAGTTAATAAAAAAGTTAATATATCCTTGAATATTCTTAAGTTTTTTTTGTTTTTTTGAAGACAAGCAAAATTACAGCCAAGTGTGCAGGGAACAAACTTAACTGACAGATTAAATAATATGAGAGACACACAATTAGATATGAGACGCACACATCCATGTTACATTGTAATGTTACAAATACACAAGGATTCACAACCAAATGATATTCTGATATAAAGGCAATGGATGATTACAAAAAGGCTTATTGTATGAAATCCTCTCTTCTTGATGTTGAAATCACTAGATCACCTGAAAATGCAGAATAAAGTGCATCATTTTTACTTAGAAATGTCAGAATAATTATACCATATAGATGGTTCTTTGAATGCAGTTTAGAATGATTTGGTGGTCAGATATCTGAAGCTGCTGAAGAGATAACTAGACACAATGCTGCATTTAGGAAAGCTTTTACTTCTAGAATAGAATTGACTGTGACTCAGGGTGGTGTGTGGTTCAGGGCGCTATGCTTGTAATCGGGAGGGTGCCGGTTCATAGCCGGATTTGCCGGAGTGATTTTACCATTGGGTCCCTGAGCAAGGCTTTTAACCCCCATTTACTGCAGCATCTTTTTTTGGATAAAAGTGTCTCCCAAAAAAAATAAAATGCCGGTGTACCTTTAAATGGGTGTGATAGATATTGAAGCCCAAAATGGTGAGGCTGGTGAGGAAGAGGATGATGAAGGAGAAAGCCGTGTTCCATAGGCTGTTATACTCGTCCTTGTGTGGAACTTCTTCATTGCAGTTGCACGTATCTAAGTGGTCTTGTTCCGGGGTAGGAACGCGAGGCTTTTCTGAGGGAGGAGAGGCCAGGTCATAGTTTATGTAGATATGTAGTACATTAGAACCTCATCCTCACATACTAACACGCTGCAGACACTGCGGCTCCCAAACACACACATGGATGTACCCTGCACTCCCTCGCAGACTCACACATACACACGGCATCGTGACAAACACAAAGCACTCGATTCACTCGATCCTGGTCATGGGCTGAGGGCAGCTTTTCAGCTTACAGGCAGCTAAATACTCTTAGATATGCTGTTACTATTATATACTATTAATACTATTAAGATCAGTCTCCATCCCATCTCTAATGTGTCATGATGTAGTATGTTTGACGTGCTATTGCTGATGCGCTCACAGTCCCTGTAACACCCGCAGACTTTTACTTGCTGCCTCCACAAACATTAACTTATATAACTTTTGTTGTCATCCTTTTCTGTCCCGGTGAATGACACTGTAGGAATTAGAGCTAATGAAATCCTCAGCCTCTACTGTAATATAATCATAAATGATACTGTAGAATATGTGCGTACTAGTATATACTCAGGTGTCTGGATACTGGTGTGTGTGTGTGTGTGTGTGCACCTGTGATACAATATTTAGAATAAAACAATACAAAAAATATAAATCTTCCAAAGAGTAAAATATAGTATGAATACAACATGAATAGAATTATTAGTAGCTTTGTTTACAAATGCTGTTAAATGTAGCCAGCATTGTTTATTGATGTTTGTTGATGTATGAAGTCTCAATATTACATTTAAGTGATTTTAGCCCATGACACTACACAGTACCCTGTGACACGTAAACGCTGTAATACTTCATGTGATGATTTGCGGAAGGTGTGCCAATGTAGAAGAAAGAAATATCCTTAAAATACAAACTGTCGTCATCTTAATGGAGAAATGCCTGACCGAATAATGTCATTTGCAGTTCTTTTTATTTGTTTTTTTGATGCCATGCAGGAGATGTACAGCATTTCAGTGGCCCGAGGAGGTTGGTCACCAGCCTTTGGCCACCTGAAATCTGTGTCCCCAAGCGCCATTAGAGCAAGACATGAGACAAACATGAGCACAGACCGTAACATCCGACAGGAGAGTACATCAGTCAAATAAGACAGGACGACATCACAGAAAACCATAAACATCAACAGAGACATACAACATCTTAACTTTTACCCTTATAATGATGTTTGTATGTTAGCAAATATCATTTACCAATTCTTCCAATTCTACAAGTGGGCGTTACTGTTGTTATCATGAAAAGTTCTGTGACAATGCATCAAAAAAGCTGGAAACACTTAAGAAATTTTAAGTAACTTTGAGATGCAAAAATACACTTCAGAAAAAATAAAAACATATTATTCTACTCAGTTATTACATCCAGAATTAGCTTCGTTGACAATGACTAAAGAATTATTGCATGATTAACCTTACTTTCTAAAACTGGATTTTACAAATGGACAATGACATTTTACACACTAAAACAACAAGACAAACAAACAAAGGTAAACAAGGCAGCGGTCTGTCTTATTGGATGAACATGAAGCACAGGAGAGACTCTTATGTAGGACATTCTAATGAATTACCCGTCTTTTTGTTCACTGTTTTGATTGCGGGCACTTTCTGCTGCTCCTGAGATCCATGTCTTGCAATGCAGGAGTAGGTGGTGCTTTTGTTCCAGTTTACTTTTGAGACTTTCAACAGGCTAGTAACAGAGAATTTTTCGCCAGTTGCCACTGGCTCACCAGTAATACCTGCCTCATATCCACCATTTTCCACCTGCCACGCTACGTATATCTCACTGGGAGAAAAGTCCGTCACCAAGCATGCCAGCATGATGTCTGTCATTTTATTAAGGTCAGCAGGAATAGCAATGGAGACTGTAGGAGGGGACTGACCTGAAAGCAGAGGTTTGAATGGTATAAATCAGTTTGCAGTTCATCATGAAATTGCACCAACCATTACATTTAACCTTATTATCATGAAAAAAAATGATTTTTGATTTTCATTGTGTGAGGCTTCATTTTCAGACATTTAAACACAATCTTTTATTAGTTGAGTTAATTATGAATGACTTCTTAAAATTCTAAATGTTTTAAAACAGGGTAGCTGACATCTAGATTATAACAAACTAAAGATACAATTTTATGTAGTCTAGTAATAAAGTAATTCAATTTCCAATCTATAAAACGTCTATTAATATTGAGGTAATAAATATGTCAAAAATCTAAGTGTAATGTGAAACATACGTTCTTGTCCGATGGTGAGAGTCTCTGAGATGGGAGATCCGCCCTTCTGCTGAACCTGACACTCTATTATTGTACCCTTCGAGGAAGTGCCACTCAGGGTTAGGGTGCTGTTCCTCACAAAGCGACCTTTCAGGCCCCAGGCACCGCTGGCTGTGTTGACATTTACTGTTGTCACTGCGTGATCCACCTTCCAGGTGACCTCAGCTTGCTCCACTGCCCCCTTGTCTCTCCCACTGATGATGCAGTCCAGCACAGCCTTATTGTTAATGAACAGCTCTATCACCCTTGGCGACTTCAGGGTCAGATCCAGGCAGGGCTTGTTGGTTGGGACTGAGGGTGGATCTGAGACACAGGAAAGGAGAAGGTTGTACCAGGAGTACAGGACACGTTTTTACTCACTGCTGACAGCAAAGATGTTAGCCAGTTTTCATACCATCAGTGATATGACCGGCTAAACCAGAGTATTGGTATAAAGGGTTACCCTCCCGAGCACGTAAGACATTTTACACATCTTCGGAGCAAGTCAGTTTGGGGTTATTCAGTATTCCAACAACATTACATCCTTTGATTATTGCATCATCAAAGTATTGAAGTTTACCATTCTTGTGTAGAATAACACTGAGCATGATTTTAAATTTGGCAGAATTAATAAAAGGACAGCATGATGGTTCCGTGGTCAGTGCTCAGAATTGCCTGCAGTGTGTATGTGACCTGTCACGTACCGTATGCCCTATTTACAATAACATGAAATATTAATACTACCTGGCTTTTCTAAGATGACAGTCTTGTCACCCGAAAGTGCTGGATGTGTCACGGTGCACTGGTAGGGCTTTTTCTTCTCCCAGTCTTCTGCTGTGACGCGGATCTCACTGAAACCCACGTTGACTCCATTCTGCTCCAGCAGAGGGTATTGTCTGGAGTCCTGCAGTGGCTGGGAGCTGCTGTCCTTCCAGCTGAAGCTCAGAGAGTCTGCTGGTGAGAAGTCACTGGCCATACAGCCAAGGTGGACGAACCCATCTTTGGTCCCACATGGCAGAAGGGGGAACAAATAATCTGGGCCTTTTTTCTCACCTGCAAACAGAAATTAAACACTGTGGGTTTTCCAGTCACATCATAAACGTGTCAACAGAAACCTATTAAACAAAACATCTGGGCTGCCAAATTTGGTCAGCTGGCTGGAATAAGATTTTCAATTCGAGATAAGTCTGCACACACATTTACATGTATGTAACAGTTTTATTACCTCGTACATAGTTTTTCGGGTTTGCAAACTGCCGCAACGCTTTTGATGTAGCTAATTTTAGGTTTATAATTGAATAATATAAATTTGCCGTAAGATTTCTTACGTGAGTGTGAGTCTGAACGTGTGTCACGCCAGATGCGCGAGTTGGCATCGCGGAAACATCCATATCACAGTTAAAATGTTCCAATGATTCTAACAGACACTGTTATATAAAATGCACTATACATGTCATAGAGAAAGGATTTTTCTCCATTTCAGCTTGTGCTATGCTGCGACATTGCTGCGGTTTCACTTATCCAGTGAAATCCCTTGACTCAGCAGGAAAAGGTTTATATTCGGGGTTCCCAGCCCCCGGTCCGGTACCGTTCCGTGGCTGGTATCGTATTCCTGCGGGTCGCGGAACCCTGGCGGTTTCGCGTAGGAGTTGGTTAATTTAAAAAAATAAATGAGGCCTATAGGCCTATATTTTCAAAATTTTAAGACCACTCGCTTTGGCTCATTTCTGTTCGCACAAGACAAAATGGAAACTGATTGTTAAACTTATGAAATCGCCAATCGATCCGCCGCCACCCCTCCCAGCCCGTCTGACCGGCCCGCGAACATCACACGGTTGGAAGCCGCTACTTCAGAGGACTCACTTACTGTAATATCCGATTAATGCCTCTTCTCCTGTTGTATTTTTTATACCAGTAAAAATCTAAAATTATAATAAAAATTACAAGAAGCGGTTGGTCGATTAAACTGACAGTTAGAGGGCACCAAAATCACCTTTGTTGTTTATAAAAGACTGGTTAATTGTTAGTTACTTTGGATAAAAATATGATCTAATCTAAAGTTATTTAATACTTAATCCTGCAAGCTCATAAGTTTTACTACTATTTTAACTTAGCAGTTTAACTTCCTCTACGGTGGTAGGCTATTTAATTGGCGAATACATGTTTCAATCAAGAAGGTATAACTAGAAAAATAATCATTGTTTCATTTGAGAAATTTAACTGGTTTTTGTATTTTTAGCCATGATAATGCTTAAACGTTCCTTTAATTTGTAGGCCTACGTTCTCGATAAAATTGTCATCATATTGCTATATTTTCCTTTCACAGCATTTTTTGCAAATTTACATTTGGGTTTACTAACTTTTTAAGACCATTTTAAACTTACAAATACAAGCAATGTTTTTTTTAGAAACAAGCCAAACAGATTATTAGTCTACGTTCGTTTTCAAACTTATTTAACCATTTAATACAAGTCACCACACAAATTTAATAGTTTTCCGTCATTACATTTAATGTAATTATATGCCTCTAGAAATACTGAACCGACAAGATCCGCTACACGCGAAGCGATCGGTAATGTTTTACTGTAATTATACACTGTGTTGATCATTTTCTTTTGCTTCGCTTCGTTCATCTTCTTTGTTAAAATTAAATTGTAACATTTTAACTACAAGTAGCAAAGTAAATCCCATCCTTACCTGATTATACGGTGACAATTGTTTCTTTAACGTAGAGGTCGTTGTTTGTACGATAACAGTAAAGAACCCTTTATCAAAAAGGTTTACACTGCAAATTTCAATCTATATGCATCCAGGTCAAAACCGGTAGGCGATACAGGCGGCTGCCTAGGGCGCAGAACTTGTGAGAGGGCACGGAATTGCCTGCCAGTTTGACTCTTTCGCAGTCTGGTGGCGCCAGCGTTGGTGCCCGCCTATGACCGGCCCCGATCTCGATTATACAAAACCTTTTTTGATCATGGTACAAAAACAGCAATAAACTTAATTTTGGTGTTATCAAGTATTTCTCTTATCTGGTAAAACATTAAACTGAATCTCGCCGTGCATTTCAGGCTTCAAATATAAGCAATGATTCAGCCGTGGTTTTATCAGAGTAAACGGAGAAAGCCAACGTTTATCGCCATTCAGAAACGTTAAAATGCTTAATGCTAAAATCGAAATATCGAAGCGGGTTGAGAAGAAGACTTACCGGCGGCGGTGACGGTCACTTGTGTGCCTTTTCCCCAAAGGTCAAAATATCACAGCGATTCGTTCAAGTGCACTGCCTGTACAAAAACCTCAGTCGACAAAAAAATCTTTGTACAAACAAACAATTAATAAATAAGTATATTAATATCATTCAATGATCCTCCAACCACTTGCACTTGCTAATAAGTGAATTATACATTCCTGGGCAGAAATTAAACGGGATTGCGATGGTCATTTCAATAGACAACGCCCTTCTTAAATTAGATAATGGCTGCAAATAGCCAGAATATAATTACTGTTCTGGATAAAAAATAAACTAAGTAGGTCATCGGTTAATTCTTGCGCTTGTAATGCCCGGATTTTTTTAAAAGTCAGTTTTTCTATGAGTGGAGGTTTTTGTAAGGGCGTCTATCGCTGTGGTCTATAGCTACCCCAAGTGTCACAGTGATATACAGCAGTGCAAAAACTTCCTGCTCTTAACAGCAAGGAAAATGCTCTCTATTTCTTGAGCTATGACAGGAGGGTGTAAAGCACTTAATAATTTTGACAGCAGCTCATATACATAATTAATTACAGAATGCCATACTCAAATTGTAGTGATTTTTGTCATTTTATGTTGGCTATATGTGCATGTGTAAGCTTTAGGTTGTAGAGTCAATTTACATGTATAATGTCATGTTTTTTAACACTGAAAACGCTAAAGTGAGAGGCAGGCATTTTGAATTTTTATCAATAAATTTATAAAAATCCATTTGAATGTTAATTAACAAGAAAGTGATGAAATAAAGATTTCATCCATCAAAGCGCACACATCCTATGGACTATTTAGCCATGCAGATCCATCCATCCACCCATGCAAAGTATGCAGTAAAATTGTGTTAATCAGGAGAACAAGAAGTGGAATCTCCTATCCTAGGAATATGGCTGAGGGAGGTGTGGTTCTGATTGGAGTGTAAGCTCTGTGGTCTTGCTTCTGAATGCCTTTGAATGACAGTGTCGGTAAAACAGCTCTGAGGTCTTTACTCAATTCTGGGGACACTGCTTCTTAGCTCCTAACGGATTCACTGTAATAGTCTGAGTGGATAGTAAATCATCTCACTGGTGTGTGAGTGAATGGCACCGTTCACACAGTCTGTAAGCTGCAGCATCAGAACAGCCAGGGTTTGGTGGGATTGTGCTGTTTTCTTCTGTGAGACTGTGAGGGAGGAAATCGCAGGTCTTACGACAGTGTCACCTGTGTGTTTGGATCAGCATAGGTGGCATTAGAGGGTAACATTGACTGCGATCTCTATCATAAATGTGAACGCGATGTGAAGCTGGGAAAGCAAACCTCAGACACCCAGAGGGCTGGTCATGACACGAGAAACGAAGGACTCGGGGGCAGGTGTAAGGAGAACTAAAAGGGGCTTTATTCAACCAAAACAAACAGAAGCGGGGACATAAACAGGACCACAAGGGGTCAAAATGGAAAGACTTAGCACAATAGGATTGAGGATAACGAGCAAGACACAATTAAGCAGAATTAGGAGGGATCTAGACCTGGGCTTGGTTTCCTGATAATGGTGACTCTTAGTATCTTAAGAAGACCTGAAAGGTATACTGTACTAAAGGTGTTGACTTTTCTGTGCGTTTTTCCAGAACATTCCGTTAAGAGGTTGCCTAAGGGAGAGCTTCTTAAGTGTGACCTTCCTAGGCACTGGAACACCTGATTGGTTGACAATGATGGCTCGAGAATTGATCATTGGCTGCCGCATGAGAGAAAGTGGTGTTCCTTATAAATAGAACACTGCAGGAAAGCTTCAAAACATTGCCTTAATCGGAAGTGCAGGGAGAGCCTAAAAGTAAAATACAAAATTAACAAATTGAATCATCTAAATATGATTTTGACCAATTGGATGCACATACCCGCCTGCCTAAACTGTAGTATCACCATTTTATTTTTATTTGTTCTACAAAACACCTGCCTGCACCAATATGTGTGCATGTCATTGATAAAGAGACGAGCAATGACCCAACAGCCAAAAGAAAAGTTTCATTACTGTCGCATAAGAGAATGTCCTGTATGCTTCATTACTAAGCACTACTAAGAACTATTTGAGGTGCTTTTTTGGGGAAAATATTGTAAAAGTTGTAATATATTAGACTTATATGTAAAAGCACCTCATGAACCAAAGTTGTGATGTACTGTGGCTTTGTTGCATTTAGAGAGGTGTGTGCATGCAGGGGCGCCAGAAACAGGGGGAATGTGTCCACCGCAATATCAACAGAACCGCCCCCCTCCTTTTTTGCCAGTTAATAAATACATAATCAACAGCGAGTTCTTTATCTTTCATTGTGAATCCGCGCAATACTGAGCCAATTCGCTGCCCCATTCAGAGCGCAAGAATGAAACCTAACGAAGACTGTAATCTTGTATCAGAGAAAATCATTTAGTCATATGGACCAGCTTTTCGTTAAGTGCTGTTTAGTTGTGAAACTGTACCTTGAAGAATGTTGGTCTTCGTTTGAGGTGGCATCTATACTTTATTATTTGAAAATTGTATTAAAATCTTTCTTATGTTGCATCCTTTCAGGATGTGTTGCATGTCTGCCCATACCGACGTCGCACCCCAATTACCCCCACAACTGTTGAATGATTAGAGGACATATTGATTAACGGCACTTTACTCATTTCAGAGGCGTGCGGTCCGAATAGTGGCGGCCATCAGCGGTATGAACTGACACCAGAGATAAGAGACTGCTAAAAGCGGCTCAGACCAACCTTACGAAAGTATGTCTTGTGGAAGATATACTTATCTAAGAACGCTTCGGGAAACACATCAGAGCGTTAAGAAACAACTTAAGGTGGAACTTACGAAAAACGTAGCATTAAGAAGGTTTCGGGAAACGCGCCCCTATGCTCTACATTAACGACCCGCCACAATTAATTACACCAACAGCCTCATGTGTTCACAGTCTATATGCACTAGAGCTAATGTCATGAAATAAAGGCTGTTTTAATACTAAGTGCTATAAATGCTCCTGTATGTTCGTTACTGTATTCACACCTAAGCGGTTACATTACCTCATCACTCTCTTAAATAACAAAGCTCTTGTGCTGGTTTTCCCAGCCTGTGGTTTTTGTACAGCTGTCACACTGACTACACTCACTGTGTCTCGAGCGCAGTAGTAAACGGCTGTGTCGTTCATCTTCAGACTGACGGCCTCCAAATACTGTGTGCTAGTGCCCACATCCTCGGTCAGGGTGAACTGCCCTTTCAGGGAATCTGCCACAAGTGAGCTACCACTACCAGAGTTCATCCTTCCAATCCACTCAAGTGGTCCTCCTGCCTTTTGCCGTACCCAGTGCATGAAGTACCTTGTCATATCAAACTCAAAGCCAGTACAGGACAGCTTGATCTGCTCTCCAGGTTTGCGCACCTCAGCCGCTGACTGATCCAATCTTTCCTCACAATAAAACCCTGTGAACAGGAACATTTAAATGTTAAATTAAAATCAGGCTTTTAAGGGATTTTCTATTATATCTCAGCATACACAGCATAATCTTAAGGTCTTTCCTACCTTGCATGGACCCCAATAGAAAGATTAAACTAGTGAAAATCTTTGGTTCCATTTTTCAGTTGTAAAGGGCAAAGTCCAGCGTAGTTGGTAGCTGACTGCAGAGAATCTTTGACCTGCTGGTTTTAAAGCAGCAGAGCGGTAAGTAACTTTGCATAATCCACCCACTGGGGGTTTAAATGGGGACCGAATGTGAGCAGCAGCCGCAGTGATGCTGGGAATACGGCCAGTGCTGAATGTGAATGGCGTGGCGATCCGGGGGGATCTTAAGGTCAAACAGCAGACCCTTTCCAATGAGGTGACACTGCAACTGGAACAGTGATGTATTATTATGATTATGATTATTGTTATTGGGTTCCAGTCATTTACTGATGGCTTCAAAGCTCTTTGTCATTCTGTAAATCCTGGCCTACATCTCCAAACCAGCTTTGGTGGATTATATATAGATTCAAAGAATCAGCCTCCCAAAGAGTAAAAATGCACAGTCACTGTCTCCCAGTAATATGAATAGAACAGAATGCCTTTATTGTCATTGTGATAAGTTACAACGAAACCCACACAATGCGTGTGATTCCCCAGTGATGAGGTACATGTCAATATTAAGGAAAAGTATAAATACACACACTGCAAATTTACAGTGTCTCACAGTAAATTTTTGAAGTTACAATCAATTATTTGTCAGTGAAACTTTTAAAGAAAATCAAAAACTGGAAAAATGTCACTTGCATAAGTATTCAACCCCGGCACATCAGCCACATTATGCTGCAATAACAGGTCTAAGCATTTTGGGATAAGTAGCTGCCAGCATTCTACACTGTTCAGGAGTGAGTTTGTGAAGGTTCACTACTTCTGTAAAGTATACAGATGTTCATTTAGTTCAGCTGCGGTCTGACAAAGCGGTATTCGCTCTGATGAGGGCCCTGGGGTAGAAGCTCGTCCTAGAGGTACGGGAGTGAAAAGTGCTGCAGCGTCTTCCTGGGGGGGCATTGAGGACCGGTGGTGGCGGGGGGTCCCTGAAGATGCTGGTTGCCCTCTTTAGGCAGCGGGTCCTGTAATGCCCACAGCAGTATGTTAGGACACTGTCACTGCAGCAGTGATAGAACGTCTGCAGTAGATGCTTGTGTAAACTAACTTTTCTAAGTGATCTCAGATAGTACCAGGGCTGTGGAATTACCTGCCCAAGAACCGTCCTCTGAGATCTGTACACCTAGAAACATAAAGTCAGAAACTCTCTCAACCAATTTGCTCTAGAAGTCAATAGGAGCAGGATCAGCCTTGTGCTTCCTAATGTCAGTGATGAGTTCTTTGGTTTTGCTGGTGCTGAGTGTTAGTTCTTTGCACACCATCCTGTCAAATTTCTGGTCTCCTGCATGAAAACCTGATCATCTTCCTCCAAAACTCAGCCTATGGTCAGTGTATCATTCGCAAACTTGATGATGGAGTTTGCAGAGGGGATCGGTACACGGTCATATGTGTGGAGAGCATATAGGAGGGGACTCACAGCCTTTGTGTAATATTTATTTAAATGGTTACAGTTAGGGCTGCGTAGGGGTTACGCCCTGCAATGTACTGGGGTCAGGAGGACCCTGAATTACATCATGCCCTTGCTGATGCCCTGACCATAATTCTAATTAGTAAGGCAGTCATTAAAATGTATAAACAGTAATTCAGAAGTAATTCATTCACACATTATTTTATTATTATTTCATGTCATCATCATACACAGAAAGAAAGAAATACCACTCAAAAACACACTAATTATTCAGTCCATGAAAGCACTGGAGTCTGGGATTTTTATTTGACCCCCCCTTCAGCGGTGTGAGCAGTGCAGGCCGGGGCCTTTAGTACCACTGAGGTGGGGAGGCTTGTATCTGAGCAGCAGCCGCCAGGCAGACACTCGGCGCAGCGGCTGCTCTGCGGAGACACTTTTCAGGGTCACTGAAAGGGCTCCGCAACAGGAAATGATTTAGGCCAGGGGTGGCCAATCTTGTCCGCAAAGGGCCGGTGTGTGTGCGGGTTTTCGCCGGAAACCCCCTAATTACATTACTAATTAGAGGACTGATTGACTGAAGAGTCCTCACACCTGGGTTTTAACAGCTGACCTAAAGGTCCCCAAAACCTGCATGCACACCGGCCCTTTGCAGATAAGATTGGCCACCACTGATTTAGACAAAGAGCTGCATGCTAGGTAGTTATATGGGTTACAGTCAGATTCAGTAACATGGATCTATTTGCACGTTATGTTAGTACATTACATGTGATTCATGGTATACACTGTATGTACAGGGGTATGTTGTCTATTTTACTTGTGTCAATTTTCACCACTGCACTAAATTTGCACAAACTACTGTAAATATCACATTCATTACATTTACTCCTCTTTTGTGTATTTTGTGTCTTGTATTTATTCTCTGTCTGTTGATGCCTTAGCTCTTAATTGTCTATTGTCATGGTGTTAAACTTCCAAAACTCCCTAAGTTTACGGAAATGTACTCACTTACAAACTGATCCCATCCACGTATCACATGAAGTAAGTGACTACTGGAAATGTATTCTTCAGTTATAAGCAAATATAACAATATATTTCTTGGAGGAAATGTTTGAAATGGCAGCTTACTCTAAGCCTAATGGTGACCAAGTGTCTACAGAACGTCTGAGAGTGTTTTTCTGCACGTGACCTTTTTGTACAGCTCAGCCACACATATGTGACGCCGTGTCTCGGGCACAGTAATACACAGCTGTGTCTTCTGCTTTCAGAGCGGACAGTTTCAGATACACCACGCTGTTGGGATCATCGTCGGTGATTTCTATCCGTCCTTTCACGCTTTCTGCAGAATCTTCACTATACCCTATCCACTCTAGAGGCTTCCCAGCTGGCTGTCGAATCCAGTGTGTGTAATAGCTACCAAAATTATATCCAGAACCCTTACAGGAGAGGTCGAGAGTGGTACCAGCCTCCTGTACTACTGGACTTGATGGAATGGACTCTAGACTTTCACATATTACACCTATAAAAGACAGACAGCAAAACCAGTCACATAAACACACCATTTCTGAATAATCAAACCGCTTTGATGCAAATATTTCTACTGAACTTACTAGGGAGGCCAGATAGGAGCAGGAGCAACAGGAGCCTGTCTGCCATCCTGATGTGGGGAGACACAGTCTGCTTCAGGACAGAAGCCCTGGGGCATTAGTAGGCAGGCGGGGGTGTGATTTGCATGAGAATCTCCTGAGGTCAGTGCTGACAAGTGAAACTAATAAATTAACACTGCCACATAATTTCTTTTATTTTTTGGGGGGGGATCTCAGTTTCCCTATGATGAGCAGCATTTTCCAGCAGTTGGTGTGTTGGAGGTGGACAGACATTTAAATGGCCCCACTTCTGAATTCAGTAACAAACAGTCAGCACTAATGTTGGTGGCATTAATGTCATTAGTCACTTTATCTTCATTTGAAACTTGTGACTCAAAACTAAAATAATGGACAATTTTTCTTAGTAAAACAGGTGCATCCTGTTGAGACACATTGTCATGCACCAGTACACACAAGCCTTGTTCTATAAATACATATTCAAATATCTATATTTGTATAAATGTGTTTTTTTCAACTTCTGTCAGATTTTTTAAGCTTTACACGATAAACTATTTGGTAGACTGTTTGCAATTTTTAGTTCTTAAATTGGGATCGGGGTCAGACTAAGAGCAGAATTTAAGAATTACAAGGAAATGGTCAAAATCTCATATTGGTGTTAAACTGTTATGTGTAGGAGAAACAGACTGAACAAAGAAAAACTTTTATTTAAAATGTTCCTTTTCTCTGAGAACTGACACCCTAAAGCACTTACACATTTAGCAAAAACTGCGCTGGTCCTTAAGTGTCGTCATTATTATTATTATTATTATTATTATTATTATTATTATTATACCCGATGCATATTTCAAATATTAACAAGGGACTATTTAAGCAAATTTAAACTGAAGTGACACAGTATAATTCATGTGGATCTAGAAGAAACAGGTCAGAATTCAATCGTCTCCAAATAAGAAGATGATCCATGTCTGATGAGACAAAGCAAAGATTGTTGTAAGTAGCAAAACTTAATCGAAACAGTACTAATCAAAACAGAAAGCTTCCCACCAACAGGAACTGAAAATTCAAAAGGGGGGTGTTTAAAAAATCATTATAAATAAGACTATATACATATACACTCACCTAAAGGATTATTAGGAACACCATACTAATACGGTGTTTGACCCCCTTTCGCCTTCAGAACTGCCTTAATTCTACGTGGCATTGATTCAACAAGGTGCTGAAAGCATTCTTTAGATATGTTGGCCCATATTGATAGGATAGCATCTTGCAGTTGATGGAGATTTGTGGGATGCACATCCAGGGCACGAAGCTCCCGTTCCACCACATCCCAAAGATGCTCTATTGGGTTGAGATCTGGTGACTGTGGGGGCCATTTTAGTACAGTGAACTCATTGTCATGTTCAAGAAACCAATTTGAAATGATTCAAGCTTTGTGACATGGTGCATTATCCTGCTGGAAGTAGCCATCAGAGGATGGGTACATGATGGTCATAAAGGGATGGACATGGTCAGAAACAATGCTCAGGTAGGCCGTGGCATTTAAACGATGCCCAATTGGCACTAAGGGGCCTAAAGTGTGCCAAGAAAACATCCCCCACACCATTACACCACCACCACCAGCCTGCACAGTGGTAACAAGGCATGAATGGATCCATGTTCTCATTCTGTTTACGCCAAATTCTGACTCTACCATTTGAATGTCTCAACAGAAATCGAGACTCATCAGACCAGGCAACATTTTTCCAGTCTTCAACTGTCCAATTTTGGTGAGCTCGTGCAAATTGTAGCCTCTTTTTCCTATTTGTAGTGGAGATGAGTGGTACCCGGTGGGGTCTTCTGCTGTTGTAGCCCATCCGCCTCAAGGTTGTGCATGTTGTGGCTTCACAAATGCTTTGCTGCATACCTCGGTTGTAACGAGTGGTTATTTCAGTCAAAGTTGCTCTTCTATCAGCTTGAATCAGTTGGCCCATTCTCCTCTGACCTCTAGCATCAACAAGGCATTTTCGCCCACAGGACTGCCGCATACTGGATGTTTTTCCCTTTGCACACCATTCTTTGTAAACCCTAGAAATGGTTGTGCGTGAAAATCCCAGTAACTGAGCAGATTGTGAAATATTCAGACCGGCCCGTCTGGCACCAACAACCATGCCACGCTCAAAATTGCTTAAATCACCTTTCTTTCCCATTCTGACATTCAGTTTGGAGTTCAGGAGATTGTCTTGACCAGGACCACACCCCTAAATGCATTGAAGCAACTGCCATGTGATTGGTTGATTAGATAATTGCATTAATGAGAAATTGAACAGGTGTTCTTAATAATCCTTTAGGTGAGTGTATACCATACAAACATAAAGGGTTACTATGGCTGCGTGGTATATAATAATATATATGATATATGTTATATTATTAAATGAATAATAACAGCAAGGTTGATCCTAGTGACTGAATTAGTTGGAAAAACGTTCGTGACGCTTTCTCTGATTTGTGACTTGCACATCTTCATCCACCAAGTTCCACTCCTTGAGCCTAGATGTCAGAAGCTCAGCATTGGACTTTGTAAGACCAAGGTCTCCGATCGGATCATTGAGGTCTTTCTGGTTGGGGAAGTATTGCTTTCTCTCCTCAGCCATATCTGTGAATTCGTGATCTGCAATATCTTCTTCACCGTCCGACTGGCTGCTCTCTGCTGAAGATGGCTGATCCCCTCCCCCCCCCCCCCCCCGGAGGGGTGGGAATGGGGAGCTCAGGGCAGTGTGGTACCGGGGCGATGGAAGAAGGAATGTCTGGATACATGACAGGAGGTGCTTGTTTGCCACTTTGACGTTTGGAAGGGTCCACCATGCAGAAGTAGCAGTTGCTGGAGTGGTCAGTTGGTTCCCGCCAAATTCTTGGAATAGCAAACTTCATTGCTCTTTTCTCTCCCCTGTACCAGCCTTCAAGAGGCTTCTTGCAATGTTCGCATGTGAAATGAGATGCCCATGGCTGGTCTTGATCCCCGATGCCTTGTAAGCCTCGCACATCTTAACAGAGGCTCTCACCGAGTACTTTTTCGCTTGTCTTGATAAATTGTCCACAAATGTAGCAAAATGCATCTGCTGGGTGCAAGCAGCCTCTTGATGCCATCCACAATAATATTGGTATTCACTATTCTCACTATTCTCACTATTCTGTAACCTTGCAATAATATAAACTGAAATGTTTGTTTCAGGCAGCCGCACTTGTATACTTCTATTGATGCTACTGCATGGGCAGTCTCAGAAAATTCTAGAAAGTTTTAAAAACTTCCAGAAAGTTATAGAAAATTCTGGCCAATTCTAGACTTTATTGGACAGTTCTCAAAGCTCTAGAATATTCTGGAAGTCTACTCAGCATTGGATGTGAATTGAAAATGTTCGCGAAAATGCATTTTAAAATATCATTGTCCTGACCACAGAAGAAGTTTTTGTGGAACAAGAGCCATTTTCTATTTATTTTAGGCATAAGGGATTAGGAAAACGCACTGTATACCCAGGAACAAAAATAAAATAAAAATTTGTTACGTAGTGTTATCGTTTGGTAAAAATTGTNTTGATTTGCTTGTCGCACTACTGTATTACCCAGTTAAATAGCTTATAGTTTACAAGGCCCAATGTATAAATGAGGGGCCAAATACCTTCATTTTAAGAAATTATTTTAAGTTTAAAAAAAGAGTCTGTGGGTAGGACAAACGCCACAGTTTAATGATTAGCGGATAGGCACTCAGTCTTGTGCAACAAGAACCATTTTCAATTTATTTTAGGCATAAGGGATTAGGAAAACACACTGTATACCCAGGAACAAAAATAAAATAAAAATTTGTTACGTAGTGTTATCGTTTGGTAAAAATTGTACAACAGCGCCACGCCGTGGTACATTGATTACTATCGTTCGAAGTTTGTCATGCCGATGACTGATAAAGATCCACTAAATAAACTGGTTATAATGACTTTGGAATCAAACAAACGCAGTACGCATTTTAAATAGGTTTTTTTGGGATAATTTCGACTTTAGCTGAAATTTATCGGCTGACTGAAAGCTGTCTCAGTAAATTACTGCTGGCTCCCAGCCTAAACCTATAGGCTCCGCTGACTGTAACAAACATTTAAATGCTGTAAGTGTTCTCGGTAAAGTCTGTGACTCCTGTTTCCCCCTGCTGATGTGACAGATCTGATGTTTAACTTAAGCAATTTCAACAGGAAAAATGCTTTATGTAGCTTGGTGAGTATGTTAGGCCCACTTACAGGCCTTTATCAAATACGACCAACGTTTTCTGTGCAAATACAGTAAAAACCGCCTTACACTTTCCCCGTTCTGCAGTTTTATTACATTACATACTTTAATGCGTGGTATAAGTCTAGATTTTCTAAGACAAGAATTGCATTTTAGATTTTATTCTTTAGTCTTTATAACCAAACAAACACAGCTGGCTTTTCCTGTTATTCTGGACAAAAACTTCAGAAAGGCTTGCCGAATGGAGATTAACCGGAAGTTTTCCGCGATCGCCGATCCCGGATGAGCGCAGGAAGATCGGCGTGCATGCAGGCGCAGTACTGTGCGGTTCCGGGAAAGTCGGGCTGAGCTCCGTGAGTATGCAGGTGCCGCAGCTTGCAGTGCGCTGTGCTCCTCATGTTCAGAACGATCTGAATGAACATCATACCGCTATTTACAGGATAATGCTTTCAAAATGAGCAATGGGCGATTTCTCTCCCCCCCCCAAAGAGTAAATGTGCACTCAGGCCGGAAATGTTTAATTCCACACAAAGAGATGTAACTTTTAAGTGCTTCCTGCGGTTTCACAAACAATTAATTGGGAGGGGGTGACATATATAACGCCGGTGGTCTGTAAGTTCTGGTCTTACTTCCTGGAGGCAATGCGCATGCGGGCAGGTACAGATTGATTCTTTTGCTCACATATTAGTTACGCAAAGCTGAATTTCTACGGTTGTTTTCCTTAAACTTTTGTTTTATTCATGTTAATTCTTTATCCATATTATATGAAGCTACCTTTACCCCCGCCTTTATAAGACTGATAGTTCTGATATATTTTGGCTGTCAAAGTTGTTTAGAGTAGCCTAATCGTTTGATGTACTACCACGCACGTGAGTTTATAAATATCGAGATCATTTTAAGTTAAACTGTCGCACTGATGCTTGTGTAATAATGTAAGTCTTTGCATAAATCATTCTGCCGCTTATCATTCGTTTTCACAATACACCGTGATGTTTGTGTTTTAATAAAAAAAACCCTGCTCTTTAATGCCATACTGAATCCGGCTGTTTAAGAAAAAGTGCGCATCCCGAATAAAGCCACTTTACCGTCAATGTACAGGAGCTGCTTTAGGCCAGCGACTCACTACCAGACGGGGGCGAGGACATGGACGCGCAATCGGAGGTTGTTAAGCGGCTGCGGGAGTCGTTTCGCTCGGGCGTCTCCCTGCCGGAGAACTTCCGAAGGACCCAGCTGGAGGCCATGGTGGCGCTGCTCAGGGAGAACGAGCAGCGGGTTTTGGACGCGATGCACCAGGACCTGGCCAAGGTGCGACCGGCTCCTGTGCTCCTGTGCAGCTGCCTCGGCTTATCTAACGCAGCCCTTACCCCCACCCTGTCCCGCAGCCCAAGTTCGAGGTGGTTCTCTCGGAGATTGACATCGTGATGAATGAGCTGCGCTTCGCCATCAGCAACCTCAAGACCTGGATGATGCCGGAGTACGTGGGGAAAAACCTGGTGAGTGCTTGGCAAGCCTGACACTGTGCACAAACCTGTATGAATAGTAGGGTCTGGAAAGCAAATTCCTCCTTTCTCTGTGTAAATCCTTTGTGTCTTCACCTGTGTTTATCAAATTCGTTTTTTGGAAGAGATTTTAGCGTTATAGATAATAGCCATGTTTTTGCAGCTGTTGAGTTGAATGGAGTTGGCAAGAGAAACTGAGCTTTCATTATTTGTTTCCTGTAACTAGGCACCCGTAAAACACGGGAGAGAGTACTAAAAGCCTGCACTGGTTTTTGTATTTTTCTTAGGCGACAAAGATGGATGACTGCTTTGTTCGTAGGGAGCCACTTGGCGTCGTGTTGATAATTGGCGCCTGGAATTACCCCCTTCAGCTTATTTTGTTGCCCCTAATTGGGGCAATATCTGCAGGTAAATACAGCGATGTTTCCTGCCTTAATACATCAGTAAGTGGAATGAAGCATGTTGATGCCTGGCTGTTTTTTAACTATAAATCTATGCTGTACCATTCAGGTAACTGTGCTGTTGTGAAGCCCTCTGAAGTCAGTCCAGCGACGGAGAAGCTTCTCGCTGAGCTGATTCCTAAATACCTGTCCCCGGTATGACGTCTGACTCGCTCCCTGCTCTGACTCGCTCCCTGCTCTGACTCGCTCCCTGCTCTGACTCGCTCCCTGCTCTGACTCGCTCCCTGCTCTGACTCTCGCCTCTGGATTTGCTGACCTCCTCACGCGTTTGCTGTTACAGGCCTGCTACGCAGTACTGTGTGGCGGAGTCGAAGAGACAAAGAAACTATTGGAGATAAAGTTTGATCACATTTTCTTCACAGGTAATGTCACGTAGAGGTCAGACTATCGCGCTTGATAACGGTTGGATGCATAATGTTTGCATTCATAGTGTCCAGCCTCAGATTCCTGAATTTCTTGACCATCAAAGACCTAAAACATTCCAGCTTCTCAGTTGCATTCCTGCCTTCAGCTCTTGCCTTCCCTCTTCCCCAGGTTCCCAGTCGGTGGCCCGCAAGATTCTCCAGGCCGCAGCGGTGCACCTGACCCCTGTCACCCTGGAGCTGGGGGGGAAGTGTCCTTGCTTAATTTACGGAGATCTGGACGTCCAGGCGGCGGCCAAGAGGCTTGCCTGGGCCAAGTTCTTTAACGTGGGCCAGAGCTGCGTGGCTCCGGACTACGTGCTGTGTAGCCAGAAGATGCGGGAGGCTCTTGTGCCGGCCCTCCGGAAGACGCTGGAAACCTTCTACAGCTCTTGCCCGCAGAAGAGCCCAGACATGGCCCGCCTGATCTCCCAAAGGCACTGGGCGCGGCTCTGCGACATGCTGCAGAGATCTAAGGGGACGGTCGTGATCGGAGGGGAGACGGCAGAGGAAGAGAAGTACATCGGTGAGGGATCCTTTGGGGGCGGCTTGCTGGGCTGAGCCTCTGTGCCTGTGATCACAGGGTCTCCGCTTCGAGTCCGGCCTCAGCACATCTGTGGGTCCGTGAGCAGGGCCCCTAACCCCCCACTCCCTGGGTGCTGCTATGGGCGGCTGCCCTTCACGGCCAGCTTACCCTCACCTACAGAGTGCAAGTTGGGGGAGGCCTAAAGAGAATTTCCCCAGAGGGATCAAAGTATTTAATAATAATAAATGGGGGTGGGAGGTATTTACTGCTGTACGGTAATGAGGTACTAAGGAGGGACTGTACTGGTATAGTGAACTTCGTAATCAGTGCTGGGCCCTTCACAGCTAATCTGCATTGCGATAAACATTTAATTTGTATTGGACTGAAAAGGATCTCATCTGCCCATCCCTGCGGTTTAGTCATAGGGCAGCTGTGGCATAAGATACTTGTTTCTTTCCTTGAAAGGGCAGGACTTGTGGCTTTTTTAATCCAAAAACCTGTAAACCTGCTCGCAGCAGGTTGGGCGTGTAGCACAAATTACCATCACAATGGACCCCGTTTAAAAATGAGCCACTATTCATAGCACGCGAGTCTCTGCGCGAAACCTCGCCGAGCCAGTAAGTCCGCTTCGCGACAAGCCCCTCAGTTCGGGCAGCTTTAAGGCTCCTGGATTTAAAACAGTCCCGCCCTTCTGCTGAACGTGCATGTACAAACCGCCCGAGCTACCAAAGGCTGGGCCCACGTTGGCATCTTTAGTTAGCTATGCCGATACGGCCCTTTCATGCGAACCAGCATTAAGAGAAGCAGTGAACTTGCCAAGCTGATGACTGCTGGGGTCATACCATTTAACATTTAAGTCGGGGTTAGTTAAGCCGGCTCTGAGTTGACGCAGTATGTAAAACTTGATCTGTTGTACCCCCCACTACCTCTTCAGATCTGTTGTATTCTCTCTTCACTGATGTTCACCAGCCCCTACTGTGGTGGTGGATGTCAAGGAGACGGACTCACTCATGGTGGACGAGATCTTCGGCCCGATTCTGCCAATCATCACCATCGAGACCCTGGGGGAGGCGATTAACTTCGTCAACGCGCGAGAGAAGCCGCTCGCCCTGTACATTTTCTCGGATGACTCTGAGGTAAACCCCAGCGGTGTGCGGCCCATGCGTCGTATCACGCCGGTGCATGCTCCCCTACCTCCACGTTCCTCGCTATGAAGCACAGTGACACGTTGGCTTCTTTTCTCTGAAGGTGGTCACTGCGGTTTTGGAGCGAACCAGCAGTGGCGGTTTCTGCTCCAACGACGGCATGGTTCACATGTGCCTCCCAGGATTGCCGTTCGGAGGCATGGGTAAGTATTTGCTTGTTGCACGTGCTCACTCTGCACTTGTCAGCTCATTGGCTGAGGATTATGGGAAATCTTCAGTGCACAAGCAACGCCTCCCGTGCAGTAATCCCAGGGGCCACTCTTCCACCTAGGTGCCAGTGGGATGGGCAACTATCACGGGCGTTGGGGGTTCGAGACGTTCAGCCATCGCCGTGGGTGCATGCTCCGCGGCTGGGCTTTGGAACGGATCAACGTGCTGCGCTACCCGCCGTACACCGAGAGCAACTTGGGCTGGCTGCGTTGGGCCACTGGTACCAAAAAGAGCTGGGACAGTTGCTCGGTCCTGTAAGCCATCTGCAGACAGTTAGCAGAAGCTAAACATCTAGCTGGTGACCTGGACTGGTTACCACACCTCTGAACTCCTCAGAACATCAACTTTCTAAAATTCATTTTTAACACGAGATTTAATGACGTTTTCATTACAATATGGTGTTTGTCCCTCTGTGAGCAAACTCCTCGTACCTCTGTGCCATATTTGGTGGGGGTCTGCAGCTGGTCATTTCATCCGTTGCGCTTCACTGATGTTAGTTGCGAGACTTTCTCTTGTTGCTAAGCTCACCCTTAAATCACTCGAATGGCTGAGCATGTTCATGGTGCGGAAATGGGGCTTTAAATGTACTTTTAACGTTTTCAACTGTGCCAGGACCTGCGACTGCTTTAAGATGCCGTCATAAATGTTGCATGTCTGTGTGTGTAACATATCTCCAGTGGGGGGGACCCCCTTTGTTTCTTAAACAAATTGCATTTGTTTAATAAATGACTCACATCAAACCTGCATTTGCCTCTTTTCCCTGGAGGATAAAAGTGAATAACTGGTCACCAGTTCAAATTATTCCCTCCCCTGTATGGAAATGCTTTGGATTCCTTAGATATTGCTGAAAAACAAGTGGTTTTTCAGCACTGCTTGTGGCGACAGATTTATTTCACAGATTCTGGTGGTAGATAAGTTCTATTTGACTATAGTTTATTTTGGGTAAATTTTCCAACTCCTTTTGCTTTATGAATATTGCAACATTTATCACAAATTAACATCACAATAATTTGAATTTCTTCCAATACATTGCAGCTCTACATCAAATTAATGGAATCGCTTTGTCAGCCAGTAGGTCTTACAGGCCAAAGTCACTCCATGCCTTCTTATTGGAAGGTCACCGGTTCGAATCCCAGGGTCAGCCAGGTGCTTTCACCCCTTGTCCTTGACCCGAACCCTTAACCCGCACCTGTCCAAGGGCTGGATGAGTCGGATCTCTTAAGTGTCACTTTTATCCAAAGCATCTGCTAGACATGTCAAATGACTCATGACTGATTCTTTCCTGTAACATGACCATCCCATGCGCAAGCTGTCCCTCTAAATACAGGTGAGATTTATTTGCTGGGTCCAATTTGAAGAGAACAATTCTCCATCTCAACTACAGACACAACTTCTGATTGGGAAAACAGAGCTCACTGCCTCCTGTGGAACACCCTCAGCGCAGACACGGCGATGGCGAGCTTCAGGACTGATTTCGTGGTTCGGGTTTGTAGGACGAGGGGGGGTTGGTCGCTGGGGAGGCCTGGCTGGGCCGTGCGGGCTCCGCGGCAGAGTGGCCTGCAGTGGTGGGCGTCTCCTTCTGCACGAGCTCCGGTTCGTCCTTGCCAGCCTGGGGCGGGTGGACCAGCACCCTGTCGATAATCCCGAAATCCTGGGCCTCCACGGGACCCATGTAGCGATCTCGCTCCATCACGCTCTCTGCAGCGATAGGGGATTAGGCGAAGGCTGCACTTTCGGCCTCTGTGTACATTCTCTCATTTGGGCTCCCAGTTAGCCTTACCTATAGTCTCCAGCTGCTGCCCCGTGTGCTTGCAGTAGATGTTGTTGATCTGCCTCTTCAGCTTCAGGATCTCCTCGGCCTGGATGGCGATGTCGGTGGCCTGACCCTGTCCCAAGCACAGCCAATCAGTAACATTCCCGCATCGTCCCCCTGGCCTGAACGTTAAACATCAACAGAGTCAGTTCTCAGTGGAACGATCTGGTTATAGAGAAGCTGGGAGTGAAGAAGCTACATCTCAACATTACAACCATATTTAATAGGAACGGCAATTTGAAAACATCTGAAAAGTTTAGCAACTGCATCAGAAGAATATGTGTCCATTTGAAATCCTAGATTTGTGTAAAGCTATAAATCGCCTACAAGTTACTACATACGTGTTTGAAGAATAATACTAATCTCAAACACTCAGGGCGCTGTTATGAAATTGCCATTTCTACTAAATATCTATATATCTCTAACACACAAATACTTTCAGAGAAAGTGGTCTTTTCTGAACTATTTTGAGAGCCTCGTGAGGAATCAGAAGGCTAATCACATGTCTGCCATTTCAAAATAGAACTGCAGACCCGATTTTACATTAGAAGTGTCGCTAGGTTTCAAAACAGTTCGAACCCGAGTGTCCAATGTGCCGTCACTGATTCTTCATATGAGCAACTGCAAACTCGGGTATCAAGTACCGCCCCCCCCTTTCCGAATCCTCACCCTCGCTCCCCCCGAGGGCTGGTGCACCATGATCCGGGCGTTGGGCAGCGAGTGCCGCATGCCCTTGGTGCCCGCAGCCAGCAGGAGGCTGCCCATGCTCGCCGCCTGGCCCACGCACCAGGTGGATATGGGGTTCAGGATGTACTGCATGGTGTCGTAGATCGCCAAGCCAGCCGTGACCACGCCCCCTGCAACACAGAAAGCCAGCGCATAAACACATCTACGCACGTGAAAGGGTTCAGAAAGTAATCCTCTACAAGTGCCACACATTTACTCACCCTGTAGTGTCAAAAGGCCACGTTTAGTAAACAGCTCAGTCCGCTTGCATTTAGAGCAAACAGGCCAGATGTCTGACCTCCCCAGTCCACAACGCCCTTTAGCGTTCACTTACTGCACAGTGCTTGCTTGCTCTCCCTGCCTTATATTAGCTACCATATGCTTGCTTTGTTATGGCTTCAACACCCACTCACCCGGACTGTTAATGTACATATGAATGGGTTTGTTGTTGCTCTCTGACTGCAGGAAGAGTAGCTGAGCGATGACCAGACTGGCCACAGAGTCGTCGATCTGTGGAGCAAAAAGAAAACAGATGAAAACCACATTTAATTTGCCGGGAAAACACCCCCTTTGACATATAACCGCCACGGCATTACAGACACATGGCCGGTGCCCCTGATCGCCACGCTGACTGCAATGGGCTCACCGGTCCCATCACGCAGATGATCCTCTCCCTAAGCAGCCTGGAGTAAATGTCATAGGCACGCTCCCCCCGGCCCTGAGGAGAGAACGAGCAGAGTGTCGTTCACCATTATCGTGTGCGCACATTCCACAGCACCATCATGTGATAATCAAAACTAGCCAATGCAACCCCCTAGACACCCTTAAATGGGTGTTCAGGTCAACCCCCCAATGCTCAGCCCAGAGTCATGCCCTTGTATACAGGTTTTTTCACATTAACATCTATAATTGATGACGAAAAGAAAAAGGTGAGAAGGTTGAGGTCGCTCCTCACCGTCTGCTCCACCACTATGGGGATAAGGGGGCTTCGCCACGGCGAGCTGTGGTGTATGAAGCGGATCGACCTGAGCGCCGAAGCCGCATTCTGCAGAAGCCGCTAAAAGGAGGCAACACGGCATCTTAATAGCGGCAATAATTTTAATAATGGTGCATATTTTAATGAGCACGATAAAACACAGAGCAGTACTACAGCTACGGGTAAGTATCCCAGGCTTGGGGGGACCGATGAGAATTACTCCTGTAAAAGTTCCTGGGCAACAAACAAGCAAAGGAGTTACCAAAAAAAAAACATAAAACCAGACAAACAAGCCACAGGCGAATTAACTGAAACTCCAGCTTTCGATCTCATAACAGAAAACATACTGCAAAAACAATAGTGGAGAATAATGTACATGTTCTGTAAAATGTTAAGTTGTCCAGTACAACTTCGTATTTGGGAAACGGCACCTTCACATTTTAGAAAAGGAAGCCTGACAATACTCCTAAATGTATACTCACTGGTAAAAGCATACTGCAACCTGGGATGCGGATTTCTTACTAATGACCCAAACTAACCCGGAACAAAACCAGTTTACCCAGAATCCCTCTGTAAAGTCCACATGGGCGCCTCTCCACTGTCATGTGACGAGTTCAGGCCATCAGGTGAAAGTTTATCTACTCCACGCTAGAGGGCAGTGAAGTGTATAAGTTAAGTGTATAAGTGTTGCATTTATGTTTGCAACAACACATATAAGTTATAAAATATAACTGGATACAAAGATCGATTACCATTTAGCATAATGTTTATAATCCTCGGGTTATTTTTTCAAAGTCAAGAATCTGGTTTTATCTGAGTTATGAATAAATATGAATATGAATGAATTTGTTATTGATCATTTGGGACCAAAATAACTTAAAAGATTCTTGCAGAAGTAATTCGTATTAATAAATAAACAAATAAAATCTAAACAGATGACTACTAATAAAATCCACAACGCTTCAGGGAAGTTCTCACTGCACAGTGACGTTTCAGCAGAGTCACAGGCTGAAAATTAAACTGGGTATTCGGAGAAACTGGACACATAGCCCCCTGCCTCGTTTGAGCAATGAATAAACTGAGATGGAGACATCCGAAATATTAAGAGATAATGTTTATCACATTTTTACTCTACAAGAATAAAAACATTAAACTGTCTTTAGAGCAGATACAGTTAAAAATCTAATTCTGATGTAGCATGACTTAATTATAGATTTCGTTTTGTATACTGTACTGTACGTGTCCCTAGAGTTTTACATACATTTGACTTTGCTGGAGTTTCACGTTTGCTGTACTCGTACAGCCTGTATGGCCGTGGCTGTATTCACGCCACACATCTCAAACGGGTTAGGGGTGGGGCCATGATGCGTGAAACAATTGGCACATTGTCATCGGGTGTTTCGCTTCATCCACTGAACATTAATTTTACTGTCCGCAGGGAACACGAAGAGGAAAAGTTACCTGTAGGACAGCAGCAAATTAGACGGAAAGAAAGTGTCTTTTTGCTGTGTTCTCGGTTGGAGGACAAAAGAGTTTGTGTTTGCGAGACTCGTCGAGCTCGATAAGACTTTCGTTTGGGGAAAACTTCGGTCTCCTTTTCAGTCGCAGTGCTTCGCCTCGCCGTCATGTCAAACAACAGTGCCAGCAGCAGCAACCTCATTATCGCCCAAAAAGCGGTTAAACAGCTCCGTCTGGAAGCCAGTGTGAGGAGGATCAAGGTAAGGCAGACGCTGCCAGGCTGATATATTTCGGAAATGATTCTAAGTATTATCGGGTTTAAACTAAATAAACAGCCGGACCATACCAAAGTCTACAAAGCCGCCTACTCAAATGGATCGTCGAAGTACAACTTAACCCACAGTTGAATGTATTACACGCAGGCGCTGTTGTTTTATAGTGTTTCATTGCATTTCACGGCACTGTATTGCGTTTTGCAGTTGTGTAATATGCTTAGCACGCCTTGAAATGGGAGCAGCCCGCACTTCGTTGTTCCCAAATCGCCATCGGACCGGGCACTATCGCAGGCGATCGCTTAGCACACATGGGCTTCCAAACTCCAGCATCTGCCGTGTTTACAGCCGCGCTGTTACATTGTAACACTGTCACTTCCTGAGTGCTGCTGTACTGTCACCCCGCCGCGGGGTGTCTGCGTGCAGTGGGTGTTTCCTTCGTTACCGACTTGTCGGTGGTGTGTAGTTGTGACAGTGGATCTTTTCCCACCCCATACTCACGTCTGCCGACCTGTTATTCAGATGACTTATCCCAACCCTGATATGGGTTGCAGGGAAATTTTATAGCCTGTGCAAATCCACAAGCAAAGCATTGAGATACTTCACGTTATCTTGTCTGTGTATGTCCTGTGTATAAATAAGTATCCTGTGGACAAATATGCGGTTATCAAGTTACTTTGGTTACATTTGCATGGTCAGTCATATGACTGTGAAATTCTAGCTGATCCCTTTGTTTAGGAGCATGTCCGTGGTGACAGGAATAATCTTAAAATCATTAACTCGTTTAATATTATGCATTTAGAAATATTTTTTCATTCATTGAATCGTAGTATCAACCACCAACTGGAAATTTATTATAACTGTTGAAGGTTTAAAATGGTCATTTTCACATTAAAAGATAACGTGTGTAAACATGTGGGAAAAGATAACAAATTGCACCCTCAGCTCTGTGTATGTGGGTTTTGCATTTTGTGTGTGCGTGTGTGTGTGTGCGTGTGTGTGTGTGCGTGTGTGTGTGTGTGTTTCTGTGGGTGTCTCTGGGTACTGGAGTCTCCTGAGTTGGTGTTGGTAAATTGTCCTTAGTGCATGATATTGTGTGTGTCCATGTGTGAGTGTGTGTGTCCATGTGTGAGTGTGTGTGTCCATGTGTGAGTGTGTGTATGTGTCTGTGTGCGTGTGTGTGTCCATGTGTGAGTGTGTGTATGTGTCTGTGTGAGTGTGCGCACACACCCCGGAGTCAGGTGCATATCTAGAAGTTCTGGGCCCCCTGACAAAATGAAAAAAGCCCCCCTGCCCTCCATTTTACATGTAAATTAATGTATCCCATGGTCCCTGTAAGGCACTGGGGCCCCTGAATCTGCCAGGGTATCCATGCCCCTACTGTGGTCCCTGTAAGGCACTGGGGCCCCTGAATCTGCCAGGGTATCCATGCCCCTACTGTGGTCCCTGTAAGGCACTGGGACCCCTGAATTCCCGGGGTATCCATGCCCCTAATTTGTTCCTGTCAGGGATAGACTGGTTGCCCATCAGTGGTTTTTCAAGATGGGCTTCAGCCTCACTGGGAACCTGCACTAGATATACTGGGATGGATATGTTTTCTTTCACATTGGACTGGTGTTTAGCTGCCAGAAACAGGAGTGCCGTACTGTGTCTCCATTGTGCTATAGACATACTGCAGAAGTGACTAATTTCTAAGGCATTAATTACGTGTCTCATTCAAAACAACATGAATGTGGAGCATAAAGAGGAAGCACAACAAGTTTTTGCAGATCTTATCATCTCCCCACTCTGGCTTTTTCTGAAGGATGAAAATAAACAAAGGTGGCTGAGTCCTATACTGACGTCACCGGCATTTTGAGTGTCCAGTACAGCATCTCTTACTCGCTCGTCACTCCTCCTTTACACTGGACCTCTTTTCCGGTGCTAAAGTGTGTTTGTTCACTCAGGATGTGATTTGACGTCGTCATAAACCCGGAGCACTGTGATATATGCAGGCTGTATTTATTTTTAGTGCAGCTTTGTGTTTGAACACTCTAAAGCACTCTAACACTGGCAAAGCATAAGGGCCTCTTTACACTGGTATATGTGGGGAAATTCTCTTTTTACACCGTCTTTATTCTGTGTTCTGTAACATCCTGTAGCATTTTCCCAGGTCATGCATTCTAATATGTGCAATGGATGTACCTTTTTTGTCTTCTGTCCTTACTGGATGTTTTATGAAGCCACTTGGCACCTTTAATTTCCCTCAGGGATAGATGTCTGGCTGCCCATCCATCTGCTCATCTGCCTGCCCGCCTGTCTCCTCATCTGCCCATCTGTCTGCCTTTCTGTCCATCTGTATGTCTGCCTGCCTGTCTGCCTGCCTTCCTGTCTGCCTACCTGCCTTCCTGTATGTCTGTCTTCCTGCCTGCCTGTCTGCCTTTCTGCCTGTCTGTCTGTATGCCTTCCTGTCTGCCTGCCTACCTGCCTGTCTGCCTTCCTGCCTGCCTTCCTGTCTGCCTACCTGCCTGTCTGCCTTCCCACCTGCTTGTCTGCCTTCCCGTCTGCCTACCTGCATGTCTGCCTTCCTGCTTTTCTGCCTGTCTGTCTGTATGCCTGTCTGCCTGCCTACCTAGCTGCCTGCCTGTCTGTATGTCTGCCTACCTGCCTTCCTGTCTTCCTGTCTGTATGCCTGCCTGTCTGTCTGTCTGCCTTCCTTCTTGTCTGTCTGCCTGCCTGCTTTTCTGTCTGTTTGCCTGCCTGCCTTTCTCTCTGTCACACCAATAATGTCACATTTATCCTCTTCTTCAGGTGTCCCAGGCTGCATCAGACCTGAAGAACTTCTGCCTCCAGAATGCGCACAAGGACCCCCTTCTCATGGGTGTGCCCTCCAGCGACAACCCCTTCCGGCCCCCCAAGTCTTGTGCCCTTTTCTGAGGTGTGGCCCCTGTGTGCTCGCTCCCTACTCCCTCCAGTTAGCTCTAACCCTCACACCATGTTTCCAGGGAAACGCCGATGGTGAATCCAGCTGAAACATGGTGACAGCTTCACTGTCACACTGCTCTTTTAATCATTGCTGATAATGAGTTCATGACCCAGATGCTTGTTGTGTATGGCGTTTCAGGTCAGGTCCTCACATCCTAGTCAGTCTGAATGCTCACTTTCATTATTTTCAGTATTTCTCCTTCCACAGTCTTTCCTTGGCCCCCTATGTCAGCTTCTACATGAGCATGAGCTACAGTAACGTGACTCTTGTCTGTCGGCAGCTGATCGCTGAGGACGCCAGGACCTCTCCTGAGCATCTCTCCTGGCCTGTTCACTCCACTCTCCCACTGAAGACATTTCCTGGAGGCCTGCACCCCCCTCCCCCTCCCCCTCCCCACCCCCGGCAGCCTGAGCTAACCTAACAAGACTTAATCACGGTTCTTCGAAAGCCTCGATATCTTCATAAGTAGTGCCTTAACATAAAGGATCACAGCCTATTTTATAATTCTTGCACATTCTTTAGTTTAACTGCCCTAACTTGTTCCTGACAGTACCCTTTTGAGGTAGGGCTCCAACTACCTGGTTCCTTCTAGAACCCGCCGTGTGAAAAGTAGCAGTACTAACACTAACATGCAGCAGTGAAGGCGGTGCCCTGCGGGGAAACACACTCATATTTGGCTATTAATTCCCTGGGATGACATCAACTAGCATCACCATGACATCACCAACCGTGGCAGTTCTTTAGTTAATCAGATTAATGGTCATATTCCTCGAAGCAGCATTATGATGGATTTCATTTACACACGGCTTGGCAAAGTTTGTCTCTGGTGGTTTGAAACTGGTGTTGATAGACTGTAGGCCTAACTAGTGACAAGAATGGTACACAATCCTATAATCAACCTGGGGTGGAAGGTAAAATAGACCAGACTGAAACACTACAGCTGCCTGGTTTGGCATCGCTGACCTGGGGGACATCACTACACCCTGGGGAGGTTCTGCCCCCTCCGTCCCGTGACCTGGCGTTTGGCGGAATGGCTACGTTGGCCGAAGTCAGACTGCGTGGGTCTATTTGCGAAGTCTCAGCTTGCTACAGATGGTACTTTGTCCGTTTCCTTCCCAGCTTCTCCTGGCGATCTGCTCTGCCTCTGTCTCCTTGGGCTCCTTATCCCAGCGGCTTATTGCTCAGAAACGTAGCGCTGCCTCGTCTTTCACATGCTGACGCCTGACAGGAAATCGGCTCCCAGCCCCAGCAAAATAAGCGAACGTGCCAATCTTGTTCACTCCGTAGGACAGAAGTAAACACTTTGACCTATGTGAGCGTTTTGTTAGTGTTTCAGAAGGAAAAGCTGGGAAACCCGGCTGAAATCTCAGATTTGTTTTCTTCGTGTGTCTTGTGTGATTTGGTAACACGGTCAATATTCTTTAGAAAGACTATTTTCAGCTCTGAGTACAGATTTTGTTCTCCTCAAAAGAAAAACGCTAAATCCTGTAATATCCTTTTTGTTGAGACCCAAGTGTATCGTAATTCCCAATTAATAGCAAAGCTTAAAGTTAGTAAACAATAGTCTTAGGACCATATTGTTGTTTTTGTTGTTATCTCACTTTAATGGCAATGTTTCTTTTTTTGGGGAGGGGGGGGGGTGAGGGTTAACAACATTAAAACCCAAATGTGGTGGAAAAAACAAATTCTTATTGACAGATTATTGAATGCAGGAAATCTTTATATTATATGTGTTACATTAACAAGGTGTAACCCAATGAATTGTTTGGATGTACATGTTTTCTTTTTTAATCTGTTTGTTTAGAGGATTATGGCATGTAGTATGGCGGTTGTTATTGTTTTTCAGTAAAATCTGTCAATTTGTAAAAGGGCCTCCCAGAGAAATTGTTTGGAAACAATGAATAAAGACTTAAAATATTTAAAGATGTTGCATTTTTACGAAATGTGATTTTAAATGTGCTTAAAGATGTATTGTGATGTATTGCTATGATGGACATTTGAAGTTAATCACAAAGTATCTTTAACAAATAGTTCGTCTGGTGTGTTCTTCGGCCATCGGCAACGCTCTGCATGTTTTACCATCGTGACCCGGCCATGCCTGCACACGTGGGCTTTGTCGTACAGGATGGGTTTGCAGATGAGCATTGTTATTTCAGCAACGATAATATGCAGCGAAACTGGTGTTTGGTGCATTAATGTGTTTTATTTACTCATAATAAATGAGGGGGGTCGGGCCCCGGCAATAACCTAGTGGGGCGCTTTAAGATTTTACACGCATCGGCCATACGGTGGCGGTACCGATCGGGGCCTTTTCACATGATGCAGGGGCAGTAGAGAGAGCGATAGTGAGAGGAGGAGGAGGGAGGCTGCTGCTCCTCCACTGTGTCGAAGATGGCGGTGTCTGTGTTTTCCAACGTGCGGCTCCTGTCGATCGGAGACGCCAACGGGGACATCCAGCGGCACTCGGAGAACCAACCGCTGCGGCTGGAGGTGAAAACCACGCAGGACGCCGCCATGATCAGCCTGAATAACAGTGAGTGTTTGCCGGGGCCGCACTTTGCGTCTTACCGCGGCTACAGGCGGACAGACGGGGCTCCGGGGAAATTCGCGTGCGGCGATGAGCCGTAGGTAGATTGATCATTCTCCTCTGGAGGATGGTTAATATGGAATAAATCAGCGCTCACATGCTTGTGTAGGACGAAACGGTAGCTTTATTTCCTCTAGATCTTTTATGGGAAGCTGTAAATCGTCCCACGAAGGAAAGACGCGTCTTACCGCCGCGCATGCTTTACTTGGGCTGAGCTTTGATACACACCTATGTTGCTTAACTCGCTGGTTCACTGTGTCGGCAATTAAAATGAAAGTAGCGCTACTGATATCTGGTAGTTCAAAAATAGTAACAATGCTGGTTTGCAGTCAGCGCTTGCAGACTTTGGAAGCCGGCTATTCACACGTTTGCTCCTTCCGAGAGTGACGTTTCTCCTGCGTAAATCTGTAGCACAAAGTTTAACTCTGTTGCCGATTGATCATTGGGTATTGGCACAAAGTGCAAAGCGAGTGCCCGATAAATAGCCTTAATACACTTTATTTAGCGTGCTACAGATTAACTTCGTGCTTCATCAGGTGTGGCCACCCACTTCACGCGGACCGCAACTGGATCCCAGTATAAATTAGGCAACGCTGCGTATGTCGCTCTGCTGCTAATGTTTAATAAATGGCTTTTATCTGACATACAGGGGGACATATGCCGAGATGCGCACCTTTTGCTGCGCTCGGTGCGGGTGTAAGTTGTAAATCCCGCTTATCCCGGTGAACAATAGGTGCCCCCCCCCCCGCCGCCCTTCGCCAGCCGCCGCTTTCTGCGGAGTCCATTGTCGCTAGGGTGAAAACGAGAACAAGAGGGCCGGGGTTATAGATGAAACTCCGAAGAGCCATGTGCTGCAGAGCCTTAATTTAAGGGACTGTATCGGTGACTGAGACCGTAGCGGGGGGCGGACCACAGGCCGGCCGGCTACCTGGAGTTCCGCGCAGCCTTTGCGCCTGATGGGTGCGGGGCCGGTCCTGGTTAAATGTTACCATACCACATATACTACACACATACCACACTGCTGATCTCCAGCAAAGATCGCAGCAGGAACTGCTTTCATACGCCCCCGTACCGAATATATCACGAACTGACGTTGCTGCGTCGAGATTAATAAAATACTTGGGACGTGTGTGGAGCAAATAGGATGAATATCTGCGCGGGTCATGCCGACCTCGCAGGCTTTTTCAGTTATACTAGACCTTCATAATTTCCAGCAGGTTCGGCATGCCAGTCATAAGGTTTCTGGGACAGATCTGGTAGCCGATGTTCTGTGGTTTAGTACATTAACATACTGCAGGTTGTTGGTGTAGGAAGTGTAGTTTATGATCATCCTGAACAATGCCGCCTTTCCTGGGACTATCAGTACTATCTTCTGCACTTCTCTGTCGGCTTTGGATCGTTTTTTTTTTTTTTTTGTAGTGAAGTTCGCTTCCCGGTCGATAGAGAGCTACTTGCTGCCCAGAATCACAGCTGGATTTAATGGACTGAGCTCTATTCTGCAACATGGGTGACAGTTATGCTCAGGAGAGCTGGCCGTGTCTGTGGGATTGGATCCTGTTCAGTTTTAACACAGATGAACCATATCTTAATTACAGTATACGCTGGAAAGCCCTCGTCCAGTACCAGGCCTTATTTGATGGTGATAAGTAATTTCACTCTTCTTTAACTCTCCGTTTGTTAATTTAATTTGCAGTTTCCTGGGACTTGAACCCAGAAAGTTCGGGTTACAAATTGACATCCTTTATCACTGTGCCGCTGCTTCCCAAGCAGGAATCTTCTGGGCAGTTTGCTTGCTTCTTGACACCAAATGGGCTTGCACACATTCTGCCGTTGGCTCCTGTCCCTGGAGGGAGCCAGTGATATTCCCCGAGTGTGTGTGTGCTCTCTTCCAGATTTTGAGTGGGAGATGCACTGATATATCTGCCTGACTGTGCCAGAGCCACATGAAGGCATTTTAAATTTGCGTTGTTGATGTTATCCTTTGGGCTGCAGTACTATTCGGGTGACCGCCCTGTTCTCAACGAGGTTCCTGTCGCTGAGGGTATCCCAGCTGGCCCCCTTGTTGCAGATTTCCGAGTCGTGCGGGCAAAACCGCGGGTAAACCACACGAAACGACTCAGATCCAGCTTTTTTTGTTGTTCCTTTCGTTTGTATTCATGTCTAGCGGTTCATTTGACTGCTGGATTGTACCTCTCGGCAATCGACAAACGGCGTGACAGTCAGGAATCTGGGTCTTTATCTGTGAACGAAACATCTGGGTGTCTGTGAGTGACAGAGGTGTCTCTCACTGTCTTCAGCAGAGGAGACGTGCGTGTTTAAGTGCTCGGTGTCCCGGGAGACAGAGTGCAGCCGCGTGGGCAAGCAGTCCTTCATCGTCACGCTGGGATGTAACAGCGTCCTGCTGCAGTTTGCCACAGTCACAGGTATGTCCTCCGCGTTCCCATTCAACTAGGAAGTCGGAATTTCAGCCCGATTGCCCCATGAAGTCGGGGTTCTGACTCAGAAAGTTGCAGGAACCTCTGCAACCCAGACCTTGGAATTCAAGATGGCTGCGCCCTTTATCAACAGAAGTGCAAGCTGTAGTGTTATATACTGTTCATTAGCACTTATGTCTTATTTGGGGCTCATTAAATCAGTCATACACACAGTACTGTCCAACTGCTATCTGTGGACATGTTGCCATGGATTTTCTATATGCAAAATACCATGAAATGCATTGTTATCAACTGGTATTGTAATGTACCTGGCTAGAACTGGTATTGGTAAATGGCTTTCTGGCTTGTACTGGATCGCGGTTAACTCGGGTGTGACATCATTCCTAGCTCTGACTTCCAACCTCTGAGGTAAATGGACCACAGCATTAGTACCTTGGACACACATCCTGCTTTCTGTTTGCCTGCCTCTCTGTCTCCGTACCCTGTCCTCCACCCTCTGTGACAGTTTCCCTCAGTGCTTTCCTGTCTCTCCGTCCATCCTCCATTCCATCTCATTGTCTCTCTCAGTCCCGGTCGATCCATTATGGGTAACAGACACTTGTTCTGTGCAGATTTCTCATCCTTCTACAACATTCTCAAGAACTGCCGGGGACACAATGTGGAGCGTTCTGTGTTCAGTGAAAGGACGGAGGAGTCGTCTGCCGTGCAGTACTTCCAGGTACGTCATCAGCGTGGTCGTCACAGTTCCTACTGATGCATACGTCCTCGAGCCTCGATTAACAAGAATAAAAATTCTCTTCTCTTCCAATCTCTCCCCCCCTTTCTCCCTCCTCTCTCCCCCTCTCTCTTTCTCCCCTATCCCCCTCTCTCTTTCTCCCCTATCCTGCTCTCTCTCTCCCTCCCCTATCCCACTCTCTCTCTCTCCCCTATCCCACTCTCCCTCTTTCTCCCCTATCCCGCTCTCTCTCCCTCTTTCTCCCCTATCCCGCTCTCTCTCCCTCTTTCTCCCCTATCCCGCTCTCTCTCCCTCTTTCTCCCCTATCCCGCTCTCTCCCTCTTTCTCCCCTATCCCGCTCTCTCTCTCCCTCTTTCTTCCCTATCCCGCTCTCTCTCTCCCTCTTTCTTCCCTATCCCGCTCTCTCTCTCCCTCTTTCTCCCCTATCCCACACTCTCTCGCTCTTTCTCCCCTCTCCCGCTCTCTCCCTCTTTCTCCCCTATCCCGCTCTCTCTCTCCCTCTTTCTCCCCTATCCCGCTCTCTCTCTCCCTCTTTCTTCCCTATCCCGCTCTCTCTCTCCCTCTTTCTCCCCTATCCCACTCTCTTTCTCCCCTATCCTGCACTCTCTCGCTCTTTCTCCCCTCTCCCGCTCTCTCTCCCTCTTTCTCCCCTATCCCGCTCTCTCTCTCCCTCTTTCTCCCCTATCCCGCTCTCTCTCCCTCTTTCCCCCCTATCCCGCTCTCTCTCGCTCTCTCCCCCCTATCC